CTGGCTGCCTGCCTGCCACGCGCCCAGGATCGCTGAGGGCTTTGCTCAGGTATCTCGGGAACAGCTGCTCCGGAAACTGGGGGCCTGTGTGGGGAAGGCTGAACCTAGCCTGCTCTGGTAGGACTGGCTGGCTGGTGGCTGTTCACTGACAGTTGAGGTAGAGAGGAGCTGTACTGATGTGGGGGGGCTGCCTTGTGGACAGTCCCAAGGGCCCCTGGTGGGTCACCTGGTTACAGAGCTAGCCCTTGCAGAGTGGTGGTTTGTGTTTCTTGGGCCTCAGCTGGAGACAGAGCCTGGATTTTAGAGTCTTGAGAAGCAGCCAGACTTGTGCGGCAGGAGTGTGTCCTGCCCCCAGGGGCACAGCATCCTCCAGGCCTGCGGAGTTCAGAGACTACTGCAGGGCTTACAGCTGAGGGGGCTTCCCGCAGGGGAGGTGCCAGGCCCTGTGATCAGACATTCATGGTCAGCAGTTGCTTAGGGGCTTTGGGAAGGGCCCCTATTTGTTTTTATTATTTACTTGTATCTTGCTGGGTTAAGGCAGTGTACAACACAGTGGGAGTATTCTGAAAAGGGGCCACTTTTCCTTCCATTTTAAAAGTAGTAGTGATGCTAACTTCATTTGACTTTCTTTGAGCAAATTATGAAGAAGAGCTTTAATGATTTTTGTGGTGATACATGTGCCTTCCCTGATTCAGAAGATTGGGTTCATTGGCCCCTCAAGTTTCCTTGCTTGCTTCATTCAGTAACAACTGGGAGCAGGTATTATCAGTAGGTTCAGAAATCCGAACCCAGATAAACTGTTGGGACCATAATTTTTTTTTTAATGGAGGTACTGGGCATTGAACCCAGGACCTTGTGCATGCTAAGCATGTGCTCTGCCACTGGCCTATACCCTCCCTCTCCCCATAATTTCTTAAAGATAGTGTGGGTGATGTGGGGTGCAGAGGAGGCAGGTGGTCTCTCTGGGCAGGCAGTTGAATGGGCAGGTGGAAGAGGTATAGTGCACAACTTGGGAGCTGGAGGAGACGTCTGGTAGGGGAAGGCAGAGTTTGAAAAGCCAAAGAGTCACACACATTTTGGATTTAGTTCTCTCTCCCTCTGCTGGGCTGTTAAGGGGGTAGCCTCTGCGTCCTGAGCAGGGAGAAAGCTGGATGCTGGGACCTCCCCTCCTCTCCTGCACTTTTGACTTTGCCCTGGGTCTTGGGAGACCCATGGAAAGGATGGCAGAGGGAAGTAAGAAGGCATCCTGATGCCTCCTGTGGGTGTTTGTAGGGAGTAAGAGAAAGGGTAATCGTGTGGAGAGAGTCAGGATTTGGAAGAGATTTCTCCTTACCCTACTCCGCCTCCAGCAGCGTGATCCCTGACCACGGGGGAAGCTCCTGATCACATACGCATACTCTCCGTTTCCACAGAGGGGAGCGGGTTTGAGCCACATATCCTGGTTTGGGAGAGATGCTTAGCAGATTTTTTTTTGTCCTTTGGTTAAAGGATATTGCCAACTTGTGGTGCGCATTTCTCCTTGTATCTGTCCCTGATACACGCTCTGCTCAGCTGTTCACTGGGTTCACGGCGCAGGTTCACTGTGTGTGCCGAGTCCCATCTAATGAAAGTAGACTTTGTTCTCTAGAGGCAGCTAATCGTGCCCCATGGGCTGTAATCAGGGAGAAGGTATTTAATACAGGGCAGGCGGCAACAGGCGGCCTGCACCTACTGGCAGATTGCAACATGGCAATTACGAATCTATCACCCCTCTCTCCGCCCCAGCAGATAATGGGGGGTGCTATTGAGTCTCTCCTCTGAACTGATTTTGAGTGAGTACTATATGGAAGAGGAAGGAGGCGGCGGGGTTAGGTGGGGTGGGGGCCATGAGGAGAGCTGCTTTCCCTTCTCGCCTCACCTCCATGAGACAGGGAGGGTTTCCTGCTGCTCTGGGTATCTCCGTCAGCAGTGCCTGCAGGTCCAGCCCGAGGAGCCCCAGATAAGACTGGGTTAGTCAGGGGTTTTAACTTAGGCCCCAAGCTTTCTCCCAGAGCATAGCTGTTCTTGTAGTACAAACCCAGCATGTGATCTGGTAGCCCCACATCCTGAGTCAGCTGCCTCCAGTTCCTTGAAACTCAGGTAGTTTGTGGTGAGGGATGGGAGTGGGATTCTTCCCTGTCAATTTCTAGACCTTCTAGAAGACTCTTTTCTTGGAGATGCCCTGGAGCCAGCTCAGCATCCAGAGGCCTCAAAGGCTTCCTGCTTGCTCTTTATGGCCCATGGCCCATTGAGTTGTCTCTGGGGGCCTCCTCCTCTCACTGTGGGGTTGGGAGTCTCCTTGGGCTGAAACACTCCAAGGTAACCTGGGAATCTTTGAGTGAAGGAGAGGTGGCCCGTGGAGGCTGCACCTGGTAGCTGGGTCTTCCTGGAGGGACTGCTCTACCGCCGTCCCTCTCACCTTTTCTCTTCTCCGGCTTGTGGACCTGCTTTCCAGCTGCTTCTCACTGTGTTCTCTAGTGCGCCTGGCATTGCTCTCACCGCTGGGTCTGACCTTCCCTGCAGCGCTTCCAGTCGAGGACAGCAGCCTGCCAGGCACATCGTGTCCCTGTTCAGTACCAGAATTGTGGTCCCCTCTGGGCTGGATCTGAGGCACTTACCGTCTCAGGACTTGGAGCCAGGGCCCCAGCGCACACTGGTATTTATGGGCATGGTGCATGGAGGGAGTGGCATGGACTCTTCCTCATGGACTTGTGTTGGGGCCTCTGTAGGCTCCCTGGTGGACTCTCTCCCGGGTGGGCATTGTCTTCTGCTTCCCTAGTTGGGAGTCACTTCCCTCCCTGTGACTCGGACACTGTTTTCACTGAGGATGCTACATATGAAAGAGCAGTCTCTGGCCTGGAGGGAGAAACTCCCATCACCACTGACATTCATCCCAGAGTCTGAGTCTGCAGTTACTGCCCATCTCACTGCCAGCCACATCCACACTGTCTGTCTGTCCCCTCAGTGAACCAGATTATCTGGTCATGAAAGCCCTGGGAATGTGTGCTGTGGGGCCGTGAGGTCGAGATGAAGCAGGCTGAGCTCATGTGACGGGCTAGTTGTCACACATCTAGAGCTAGGGCAGCAGGGTCCAGGGGAGGCTGCTCTCCTTACAGGTAGACTTACTAGACACCTGGGCAGGTCAGTGTCCTCCCTGCCTGCCCACTGCCCATATGAGTTCCCAGTGCCTAGAGGACAGTGTGGCATTGGCAGGAATAGGGAAGAAAAGCGGTTGAGAATAGATGGTATATAAAGGCCCCTCAGCTGACTGGGGAGCAGGTGGGGAAGGGAGTGGGGACCTGGTTTCTCCATAGAGAAGGGGAGAAGGCAGAGGCCAGCTCTGGAACGTCCTCTGGGTTTCGTAGAAGCTCTTGGCTATCTGTATCTCTCATTCCTGCGTCTCTGGCTCTACCCCCTTTTCTAACTCGTAGACACCCCTACACTTGGACCCCCTGAGTGTCAGGACCTAGGTGCCCAGGCTGGCTTGGGACTTCCTGGACACTCTCCCCCAGGCCAGAGGAGCTCCTACCCTGGGGCCCTCTGGAGGGGTGGCCCCAGGGAACCTGCGGGGTGACTTGTTTGCTTCCCCACACCTCAGGAATGTGCTGTCCCTTCAGGCCCGCCCAGATTCCTGCACAGGGAGTCAGCCCGACACAGCAAGCTGCCTGTGCCCTGTGGGGACACGCTCTGCCTCACCATCAAAGGGGTAGAGGTTGGCGGCTCGTGCCTGCTGCCACGCCCCAGAACCCCAAGCCAGAGGCCAGGCTGCCCAGACAGAGGAGGGGGGCCACTCCTGCTTCCCTCCCTCCCCACCCCCTCACCATTCTTCCTGCCTGAGGCCCCGTTGGAATGCGACAGGAGTCATGGCCAGGGCATGTCCCAACAGTAGGAACACATGCTTTAGCCTGCGAGGCTTCCCTCAGTTCCCAGCTCTGGTTAGGTGGATGGCAGTGGCAAGATTGTTTATGCCCAGAAGGCCACCTGAGGTTACTGCCTGCACTGGTCCCTGTGGTGGCTGCTGCCCTCGTGCTGCAACCCAGTTTATTACAGGTGGGGGCAGAGGCCGGAACCCCACAAACCTGGAGGGGACCTCACAGGTCACTCAGTCCCGCCACCTCTGTGCAGGTGAGAAACAAGCTTATCCAGCAAGGAGAGGACTGACCCAGGACCACACAGTGTGTCAGAAGCAGTGCTGAGCTGGAACCCTGGTGTCTCAGCTCCCCAGGCGGGGCTTTCTACACAGGGTTTCTCAGCCTGGGCACTATCAACATTTTGTGCCGATAATTCTTTCTCCTGGGGCTGTCCTGTGCCTTATAGGATGTTTAGCAGCATCCCTGGCCTCCACCCTTTAGATGCCAGTAGCACCTACCCCTGTTGTGACAACCAAAAATGTCTTGAGACATTTGCCACATATCTGGTCGGGGGAGGGGATGAGAGGGGACCAAATCACCCTGATTGAGAACCCTCATTGTTCTAAAATGCTGCCTTTTCAGATTTTTTTCTCCTGGACCTACCCCTTATTGCAGAGCAGAACACCCAGTCTGTTCACCACCATTGTCCACAGAACCAGCTTTTGGGGTCCTTCTGGAAACATTGCTAGGAGCTTTTCTGGCATCTTCTTGGGCCTCCACTTGGCTTTTTCCTGGTGTTCTCTTCTGCAAACCCATGTTTCCTGAATCTCTTAGCTGTTTCTAGACTTTGAGAGGTGGGAGAGATGAACAGGACAGGACCAGACCTATTCTAGAGTCAGGCACGTGGTAAGCTGAGACCATGAACGTGGACGCAGACACATATGTGTCTCCTCTGGCCCTGTGACAGAGCTTTCATAGGGGGGCCAGTGCTTCCAGTCCTGTCCAGCCACCACTGCTTTCCCCTCAGACCCCCTGTTCCACGGCTCTTCTGCCTGGCTCTCCCGGGGTGGGAGCACTGGCAGACAGGCAGCTGACACCTGGCTTCCACTTTCTTCCCTTCTTGGGTTTCAGGAGCTATCGGCTGGAGGAAGTGGAGGGGCTGTGGGATGCGGAGAGCCACTGGCTGACTCTGGGACAGTGGAACAGACAGAGCTGCGGACAGGCTGACGGTATGTTGAGGCCTGCACCCCACTGGGCTCCCTCCTGGGGAGGCTGGCAGGTGAGGGGGCAGCAGGCAGCCACTCCTGATGGGGGCTGGTGAAAAGAGTCGTGGAGGCCCCTGCCCCCTCTGCAGGGAGCCTGGGTTGGGTGCACATCCTCAAACCCTTACTTTCTGGTGACCTTTTTTTTAAGCTAACATTTATCGAACATTTCCCAAGTGCCAGCTGCAGTTGTTACTGCTTTACATACTTGCTATAACAACTCTGTGAAATTGGTGCCATTCTCAGCCCAGTTCAGTCAAGGAAACTGGTGCATGGCGAGCAGCTTTTCCCTCTGAGGCCACCTTCCGAGCCCACTGGGGCCAGGGGTGGGCCGCTCCTCAAGCCCAGTCCACGCTCCCTGTACCCAGTCCCTAAGGCCCTGCCTTTACCCCCAGTCTGTTCCCGCTGGGCCTGGGCACCTCTCCATCATGCCTCTGACTGGTGGGCACCAACACACCAGAGTCCAGCCCTTCTAATGACCCCAGCAGCGGCCCAGGCCTGTGTGCTTGCCTGGTGTCTCCTACATTCCTCTTTTACTATCCTTTTTCCCTCAGTCCAGAGGCCTCTTGCCACATCTCTGAGCCTCCTCATTCCTTGTTCCCCTCAGCAGGTTGAGAAGCCCTCACCTCCCAGAATGACCAGTGCGGCTCCTGCTAAGAAACCCTACCGCAAGGCACCACCTGAGCACCGGGAGCTGCGGTTGGAGGTTCCTGGCTCCCGACTGGAGCAGGAGGTGGGCAAGAGTACCACACACCGCCCCCTGCCTTGCCCTGGCTGGCAGGTGCAGCCCCTACGACTGGGATCTGGCTGACTTGTCCTGCCTGAGGGGATGTCTGGTTCCCTAAGTCAGGGTGAGGGTGTGCTATTGCTGATACACTCTCGGGGTCTCAGCTGCAGCAGTGCTGGTAGGGGCCACATAGACTCGTAGAGGACAGCTGTGGCACTGTCATGTGTCAGGGAATTCGAGAGTCTCTGTAGCTTAGCAGAAATGATCTCATGCAGTATTGTTCTTTGTGCAAGATGCAGTCCACCAGATTGAGGGCTCCTAACCTGCAGGAGGCTGGGACTCTGGTCTTCCACTGGTGTGGGAGGGCCGAACAGTCTGTGGCCCTTCTGGGGGCATTAGGAGGTGGCTCTCCAGCTCCTTCCCGCCAGACTAGCTGTTCTTTGCTGTCCCCAGAAGTCCAGCCCTTCCACTTTGCTTTGTCTGCCCAACATTGATTAAATATGTGTTCCCTGCTGGAACTGCGTTAGGTTTTTAGGAAGCCTCCTTCAGGCACCTGCAAAACACTCTCCAAATCTGTTCTCCTCCCTCCTTAAGCTTACTGCAGGAGGAAACGGGGACTACAGTTCATTCACCTTGCTCCTGTGTTTCCACCTTGTTGCACTGCGTGGAACATGTTTAAAGAACTTGAGAGACAGCTGGCATGTGCCAAGCGTCAGGCATACCGTGGCCCGCTCTGATCAGATTCAGGGCAGAAATGCCTTCCGTGACTTGCCTATTTTCATTTCAGGAAAGAGTGAATAAAAAGGCCAGATTGAGCTTGTTGCCACTCATTGGGCAGTCACCTGGTTTTGTAGATGAGGCCACCAGGGCTCGGCAAGGTAACCATAGCCAGCATGTGGTAGAACAGGATCAAATCCAGGTGTCAGTGGCTCCCCAGTCTGTGGGCTTGGCTGCCCACTTCACTGCCCTGCCTGTGATTGGCATCCTGAAGCAGTTCCATGTGAAGTGAGCCCCTTGACATTTCCCTCCTGCCGTAGCACTTATCTGCTCTCCTTGCGGTTAGCTGAGCTCTGGCTCTTGGGTCATGACCAACATGGAGTCTTGAGGAAGATTAGGCAGGAGGGTAAAAGCAGGACATTTCACTTCTCTCACTCAGGGTGAGCCCAGAGGCTCTTCTTCCCCTATTCATGTTCTTCCCAAGCCTCTCTGAGGGCCTGCGTCTGCCCAGGGGGCCCTGGAGGGCTTTGTCAGAGCTCAGAATCCTACTCTAGCTCACATGACTTCTCTGGAAGGTCTCAGTCATGCTTGCAGGGCCCATGAGGAGCCCAGTGAACAGCTGGGAGCCTCTCATTTAGCCCTGGAAGAGGCAGCATGGGTACTGGACCCATTTGCAGTTGACTCTGGGATTAAGAGGGGTTGGGCCTGGTGAGGGTGAGGGTGAGGGTTTGAAGGGGTTCTTTAATCTTCCGGTTGGCATGGGAGAGAGTAGTCTGGGCTTGTCTGGGTGTTAACTGGATTGCCAGCATCTCTACAGGGCCCTGCAGTCCACTTCTGCTGTGAGAGTCTCTGGGCTCCAGACATGGCCCTTTCCAGGACTGTTTGGAGGGGGTAGGGGCAAGAAGGAGGCCAGTGGTCCAGAGCTGAGCCTCAAGCTTCTGTTCTTTTGTGCCCAGGAGCCCCTGACTGACGCAGAGAGGATGAAGTGAGTATCTGCTGCTCAAGAGCCTGCCCTGCCTCAACTCTGTCCCTCTTAGCTCCAGGCAAGGCTGGGCTTTTCCTTGGATTAGGTAGAGATAAAGGTTAACGTGGGGTGTTTTAGGGACTCTGGGAGGAGGCTTGATATTGTGCATATTCCTTCCAGAAAAAGAGATTTGTTCCTTGGGCTACAGGAGAACCTGGAATCAAGGAGGTGGGTGGCTCTGAGGGGCCTGCTCTTGCCAGAGCCCTTCCCCAGCTCCTGGCCCTCCTGTGCCAGCTGCCTTCCTGTAGCCCTTCCTGTGAGGCCTCTGGAGGGAAGGACAAGCACTGGGCTGGATTTCCCAGAAATGAATAATGGAGTAGCCTGATTGTGCAGTGGGGAAACTGGAGCTGGAGGCTTGGTGACTGGCTGGCTTGGGTTGTAACCAGAGACAGACTAGGAACTGTACCCCATGCACTTCTGTCTTCTCCTTCTTCTCCAGTGAGGGGGTGGGGGTGTGGACTGTCCTCTCCCATCCTGTCTGCCTCCCCAGCCCTTCAAGCCAAGCTGTTCTCATGGCTGGCAAGCCTATGGGATATGCTGCCCCCGACTCAGGCCGAGTCTCAAGGAGTCCCCTGCCTGCAGCTGCCTGTCCTCATGTCACTCCTACTCCTTCCTTCCTGAATCTAACCTGAGACTCCATGGCTGGCCCTTCCACCTCTGATGCCCTCTGTCTTTGACCCCTCAACTCACTAGGCTTTTGCAGCAGGAGAATGAGGAACTTCGCCGACGCCTGGCCTCGGCCACCAGGCGCACTGAGGCCCTGGAGCGTGAGTTGGAAATTGGACAGGACTGTCTGGAGCTGGAGCTGGGCCAGAGCCGCGAGGAGCTGGACAAGTTTAAGGACAAGTTCCGCAGGTGTGGGGACAAGGGGCTGGGACACACATGCACACGCCTCCCTGTTCACAGGAGGTGAGCTGAGAGAGGCCTGAGCTCATCTGATTCTGATGAGACAACTGAAGTTCTGAGAGGAGAATGACTTGCCCAAGATCGTATATCAGGGAGGGGCTGAGCAGGGTCTGAAGAATAGGACCTTGTCCAAGGGTCTTCCTTGTATTCCTCTACAGGCTGCAGAACAGCTACACGGCTTCCCAGAGGACCAACCAGGAGCTGGAGGACAAGCTGCACACGCTGGTAATCTGTCCAGGAGGGCAGTTGGGCTGGCACTGCACTCAGAGCATAGCCAGGGGCTGGGACTTGCCTGGGGACTGCCATTCTGCCCTGGGGCTTGGGAAGGTGGGTGGGCCGTGGTGGGGCGGGGCCCGCAGTGTGCTGTGCAAGTCAGGACTGTCTTAATGCTCACACTGTTTCTCTTCTCTCCTCGTCTTCCCCTCATGCTGCCACCGTCGCTGCCGCACTCTCCTCTCAGGCCTCTCTTAGCCACAGCTGGATTTTTGCAGTTGCGTCTGAGTTTGTGTGTTTTCTCCCTTGCCCTGGCCTCCTCCTCAGCTGAGATCTGGAATTGCTGGGGGCTGGCCACTGCCCTCTGCCCACTCCTTTCCTTTTCCTCGTGTGAGGCCCGTTCAGCAGTCAGTGCCTCCCTCTTGGGGGATGGTTGGGGAGGCTGCTCTTGGCTTGCGCAGAGGTACTGATTCAGAGGTCACCACTGAATGCTCACAGCTTCTCAGCTGCAGCGGTAGCAGGCCCAAGCCATCTGGGGGAAGGGGAATGTGGATCTAGTTCAGGAGCTGATGGTCCAAAGGCTGCTTTTGAGCCTGCAGCTCCCTCCCACCTTCTGGGTTTGCACAGTTATTGCTTCTAAGGTACCAGCTGCCTCGCCTGGTGTGTGGAGCCCCTTGAGCTCCCTCAAGGGCTGGGCAGCTCTTAGACTACTCTGTCCTGGGCCCAGCGGCCATCGATCATGCTCAGAAAGGCCCCCACCCCACAGCCAGCCTGGACTATGGAGGTGTCTGGTCTCCTTCTGTCTGTCCATCGTCTGTCTACTCTGTCCGCCTTGGCTGCCCTAGCACCTGTGGCTTCCTGTGTCTCTGGGCTGGGAGGAGGGGGAAGTGAGGAAGGGCTGGCTGAGTGCGGGCTGGGTTCACCATGAGTCCTGTGCCCCAGATCAAGAAGGCTGAGATGGATAGGAAGACGCTGGACTGGGAGATCGTGGAGCTGACCAACAAGCTGCTGGACGCCAAGAACACCATCAACAAGCTGGAGGAGCTCAATGTACGTACACCTCGGGTCCTCCCCGCCTGTGCTCCCCCGGGCAGGGCTGGGCTCTGAACCCTGTCTGTGTCTGCAGGAGCGGTACCGGCTGGATTGCAACCTCGCTGTGCAGCTCCTCAAGTGCAACAAGTCCCACTTCCGTAACCACAAGTTCGCTGATGTGAGTAGGGTGCCCTCCTTGCCAATGCCAGTCCACATATTTTAGGGCCCCTCTAACTCCAGTTCCTACACTTCTCTCCATTCTCCTGCCTTCAGCTCCCTCTTTGTCATCCCCTTGCCTCCCTGTTTCCTCTCAAGCTGGTCAACTCTGCCACTGGTTAGTGTCCTATGTCCTATCAAAGGCCCATCACTAGGGATGGGGTGGGGTGGGGGCTGGCCTTACTGGTATTTCTGGAACAGACACAGAGAGAGGGTCTCAATTTCTGGATCCTGTGCAGGAGGGAGTGGCCAGAGCTATGAGCCATAAGAATACTGAGAGGGCCTCTTGCCCCCAGGAAGAAACTCTAGATCCCAGAGCTCAGGCCCAAGCTCAGGCCTGCAGAAGGAATGGAGGTATTTCCAAGGCTTCTGATCAGTACTGATTATCAAGCTCGTGCCTGGTTTGGGCAGAAGGTACTGCTGGGATGGGGGAGTTAGGCGTTTGAAAGCACATGGGCCTTAGCACGAGTACTGGGTTCAAATTATGGCTGTGTTAATCAAAAGCTTCAAGTTATTTTACCCCTGTTGAGTCTCAGTTTATCTGCGAAATGAGGATATACCTTGGCATGCTGTAAGAACAGATAGATAGCAAGTGTCCCGCACACTGTGGTCCTTATACATGGTAGCCGTTACTTTTTGCCAGGGAGAGAGCTGTCAGGCTGGGATCATTCATGTCTCTCTTTCCTTCTCTCTCCTTTACCCCAGCTGCCCTGTGAGCTACAGGACATGGTTCGGAAGCATCTGCGCAGTGGTCAGGAGGCTGCCAGCCTGGGCACTGCCCCCAGCCCGGCCCCGGGGGCTGTGGTTCCCACCTCGGTCATTGCTCGAGTGTTGGAGAAGCCAGAGTCTCTTCTGCTCAATTCAGCCCAGTCAGGCAGTGCTGGTTGCCCTCTGGCTGAGGACGTCTTTGTGCATGTGGATATGAGTGGGGGTGACCTGGCCGGTCCTCCAGCCCCTGGCAGCCCAACCCCCCAACCCAATGGGGAGTGCCGCTCTCTGGGCACTGCTGGGGGCTCCCCAGAGGAGGAGCCGCCCCTGCCAGCCTTTGAGAAGCTGAGCCCCTACCCAACCCCGTCTCCGCCGCACCCTCTGTATTCTGGCCGCAAGGTGATAGAGTTCTCTGAGGATAAGGTGCGGATACCCCGCAACAGCCCCCTGCCCAACTGCACGTATGCCACCCGCCAGGCCATC